GGATTTGTGCTAAAACTGGACCCAATTAAGTTGACTTGGGCTGGATTAAACGAAATTAGGCATCCATTCGATGATGCCGTGGCCCATGTTAGTTGATGTCAGACTACATAGACCCGCTCACCCTCTTTTGGGCCGAAGGAACAGATTGGACCCGCTCCTCTTGCTTAGGGATATGTGGGGATGAGCATTGACTATATCCGTTATTTACAAGTAATTTATCTATTTTGAATAAATATTTTATCTGAGCTATAAAAAAATTAGATAAGTAATGAATACGAAAATAATATCTATAATTGTCAAATTAAGTAACAAGTGTACGAATTCAAAATTATTTATCTGATTTATTTAACCTTTTTATTGAACTGACATGTTATTTGCATTTATATAATTGAAATTTTATATATACTTATTATACTCAATATCTATATAATAAAAATAATTTTTAAAAATAATAAAATAAAACAAAATAAAAATCACACACAATCTATAAATAATAAATCTTAAATTAAACACATATCATACACATAACCAATAACTTTTTCTCTTGCACTTTTAAGCAACGATGAGTATTTATAATTTCAAATTTTGATTCTTTTTAGTTTTCTTTTTTCTTTTTATTAGTGATTTCAAATTATAATCTTTGTTTATTGTATAGATGATTTTTTAATTCAAACTTCAAATTTAATATAATAAAAATTATAAGTCAAAAGTATATATATTAAAATATTAAAATAGATACAATACTATTAATCACTATTCATTCCTAACAAATCGAAAGTAAAGGATTAAGGAAACTATAAACCCAAAAACCTAGACATCTTCTTTGAAGGATTTTCATTTTATTATTTAATTTATTTCCATTATTTATTCTTTGGATACATATTTTTTGTTATTTATTGTTATGTATTTAATTGAGTTTAGTTTTTTAATAATATGCAGATTTAAGTTTTGAATATAAAACCAAATTTTAGTTCTCTATTGTTATTTTAGATTATGTTTAAGTTTAGATTGTAATAAGTAATATTTTATTAAAATTTTACTAGTATTATTTAAGTTTAGATAAAAAGTAAATAATATTTTATTAAATTTTAATTTGAAAAAAAATTAAAATAAAATATTATTTAACAAGTATATAAGTATATATTTGCAAGTTATTTGATACCTATTGGGTTAAGTACCAAATGTAAGTCTTCAAGTATTTGGGTAAGCATCAAATCTAAAAAATTATACCTAAAAATTTTCAAATTAAATACTAAATATATCTCATAATACTTGAAAATGCTCACTACTATGGGTAAGCATTTTTTGGTTGAGGTGGGGTATAAGGTATATTTGGTAGTTAATTTAAAAATTTTTGGAAATAATTTTTTTTAGATTTGATATTTATTTAAATATTTAGTATTTAATTCAATATATATTAGATATCTTGCAGGTAGATAGTTAAATATTTGATTTAGAGAGAAATTCTAATTTAAAATTTTATTATTACGTATATTCTGTGTTTGACTTAAGTTTTATTATTTATATAAATTATTATTATTGTGTGTGTAATTTATTTAGTTTGTAAGTTTTACATCATTTTTATTTTTATTTTTTATATTTTATTATTTTTATTTTTAAAAATTATTGTAATTATATAAATATTAAGTATAATAAATACTTGTAAACTTTTAATTATATAAATAAATAAATAAATGATTAATTAATTAATTAATTAAATAAATCAGTTAAACAATTTTAACTTTTTATATCAGTTACTTAATTTTTTTTTTTTTTGGTACAATCAGTTACTTAATTTAACTGGCGTTTCGTTCACTAACGCCTTGTGACGCCGTCCTGAATGTAGGGGGTAAAGTGCAAGTTTTCCAAAATAAAGGAGGTAAATCAGATATATTTCTTTCCTTAGGAGCAGAGGTTAGATGCTTAAGCAGCGTGGAAGAGACGGCACGACTGAAAGCAGAGATTGATCGGAGAACGGTGGGAAACGAAGACAATGGAAGCGCAGAAGTACGTATGGGAAGGAGCGATTCCTCTCCAGATCCACCTTCACGAATCTGACGTCACCACCCACCCCCCTCCTCCTCCGGCTCTGGTTCGTATTCTCCGTTCATCTCAACTTCCCTAATAACAACTCTTTTTATTACCATACGAACTCTCCGGTTGACTTCTTCTCGCGATTTCAGATCTTGGCTCCTCGGCTAGGGTACCTGCCGTTGTTAGCTCCACTAATAAAGCCTCACTTCAGCGCCACACTTCCTCCGGGGGTCGACACTATTTGGTTTGAGTACAAAGGGTTGCCTCTCAAGTGGTATGCTTCTACCTTTTCGCCTGATTGGAGGTTGAGTTGGTAGCTTCAAGTATTTGGAAATTTTTTAAATGAAGTATTTTGAACTTTATATAAGTTTTGAACTTTATAATTTTATTGATTTGCAGGTATATACCTACTGGTGTTCTTTTTGATCTTCTCTGTGCAGAGCCAGAAAGGCCTTGGAATCTCACGGTATGATTCGTGTAATTTTTTTGTGTTGAAGGGATTAATTCATCAGGGTGGTTTTTTTTTTTTTTTTAAAAGGTAAAAAATGTAAATTTATTACCTAAAACACAATTATACAAAGCAACACATAAAAGGGTTCTGCCCACAATGAATGAATGAATCAAAAAAAGAAAGAACAATGTAGCTAACTATCAAGTCTGTCTGTACATAGGATTTCTAGTCCCCAATTTGCTCCTATATTAAGTGGTATAGGAGACATTCTAGGATTTGCAAAACCCAGTACCCACATCTGCATAAATCATCTCCAATATTGACAGTTCAGAACTTAAAAATCTGTTATGAAGCCTGTTGTGTCTTTCCTTCCAGATGTGGTTCATAGTGGCACACCATGCCAACTTGGTGATGGTATTTAGTAAAGCCTTTTGCTTAAGCCTTTTGCTTTAGTCTTTTACAAAGTCAAGAGAGGACAGTCTGCCATGATTTAACAATAGGAATGCCACCCATGGTTGAAACTTTCTCCCAAATGTAGCTTGCATGTGGACAAGAAAGAACAAGTGATCCCTTGTTTCACTGGCTGACCTGCAGAGAAAACAAGTATCATCTACAGCAGCAGTCTGCTTTTTTTGCCTAGTCTTTGTAGAAAGCCTATTTAGCACAGCCAACGAAGAGATAATCAGGGTGTTTACACATAATATGTGTTCTAATTTTTTTTTTATGGCCATAAATATCATGGTTTTAATTTTGCTGCAGGTACATTTTAGGGGGTATCCAGGAAATTTATTGACACCTTGTGAAGGTGAAGATTCTGTGAAATGGAGCTTTATTAATTCATTGAAAGAGGTAAAAGTAGAAAAGTGATGATATGAATTGCAACTTAAATCATGGGACTATTTTAATTGAACTGAATAAGAAAAAATTGTTTCCTGAAACTAATTCTCCTTGATACTTGATATCATTCTTCTTCTTCGTTTAATTGAGCTTGATACTATATTGTGACAACAGGCAGCTTATATTATTAATGGAAACTGCAAGAATGTCATGAACATGTCCCAATCAGATCAGGTGGAGCTCTGGGATTTTGTCATGAATGGTATGTCTGCTATTGATAAGGAGATGATTTTTATGCCTGTTGATTACCTCTCTCTCTTTCTCTCTCTCTCTGAGACTGTCAAGATCTGTAGCTTTACTAATGTCCAAAGGATTAAAATTCTGGGTTTTTGAGTTGTTAATAACTCCATTCAATTCATTCAGTCGTCCATTATCTACTTGAAATAGTTGAGAGAGCATAGAACTTGGTTTTAGCCTGAGAATATGTTGTTCTAGGATGAGAATAAGCAGTTTGCTAACATAGACTATTTTAAGGATCTTGGTATTGCCTGAAAAAGATTTCCCTCCCCTAAGGCTTGAACTAGAAATATATTACTAGCACAAGGTCCTTTTAGCTCCCTCTGTGTTTGATAGTTTGAGGTGAATAGGTGTAATTAGCCTATGTGTCTTCGGCCATATACTAATATACTATGGCATTAGACTGTTATCTGTAAATTCTAAATTGTCTCAAATTTTAAAGACACAAGAAAATTAATGATTGAGCATACCAAATTTTCCTGAATTGCTGAAATTACACAACAAAGAAATAAAAACTTGTTATTCTGTGGCCAAAGCACATTGTATTTGCCTTTTGAAGCTAACAAAATCTACATCCTACACTTCATGTCTATTTCTTCTCTGAATCCATCATGCCTCTTTCATAGTTTTAGCATTTGGCTTAAATCAGAAGCTGTAGATGAAAGCTAGAATACAGAGGTTCAAAATTCTTAATCATGCATGACACCACCAAATTTGATAGATAATGTGCATGAATCTGTCCTGAAGCTAGTTTAGCCTTTTCACCTTGGTGTTATTTCTTTCTTCACCCCCTTCCAGTCTATTCTCTATAAAATATCTATATTTCCCAACTCTGAGCATTGATTTTGTCAGGTAATTTGGAAGGATACCTGCGGGTCTCATCAAAGCTTAAACTTGGAACAGTTGAGGATGAGTATGCAGGTTTATACTCATCAAAATCTCGGCATGGCTCTGGTGAGAAAGATTTGGCTGGACAAGTTAAGACAGGTTAGCAAAAGCTGTCATCATGCTTCAAGAATTAAGAGTTGGCAAGTCTTTTCTCCCCCCATTTTTTCTTTTATAAAATGATGTTTTGTTGAGAGTTGGCCTTTTTTTACCATGTGAAATAAAATTCTTTAGCAGATGTGGGAGGGTAGCAAAATGTTATTTTGGTGCCTCGAATGATTCTTTACTTTATACATTGTCTCCTCATTTCATCTTCCCATGCCTACCATTTCTTTTATGAACAAACATAATATCTTGGCATTAATTTGATAACTTGGATCATTGACAAACATGAAACATGGATAGCACGATCTGTTATTTGTGCATTAGACACATTACAGCTTAATTACCCCTGTTTTGGCCAAAATTTTCATCTTAGTATTTTTAAGCTTTGTCAGGCAGAATTCCAGTTAGATTGTATGTTCGGGTTTTCAGCGAGGATATTGATGATTTAAAAGATGTACCTCAAATTGATAGCTGGGATCAGATCTTTTATATTAATAGGCCTGTTGAGATTCCTGGAGAAGGTAAACTATGCATATGCTTCTTATCTTATTGATCTTTTTATATTTAGGCCTGTTTTTCAATGGCTACATCATGCACACTATTCTGTCTGTGCAGGTAAGTACTTGACTTTACTCGAGGCAGTGAAAAGTATACTTCCAGAATATTTTTCAGCCATAATTAACAAGGAATCAGCTAGAGTATGCATCGAAGATGGACAAAAGGATTCTCCAGAAGATGCAAGCTCTAATAGAAGTGCAGAAGACCAGGGAGAAAATACACCTGAACATGTTGAGTCTTGCACTTCAAGTAATGCTGTAATCAAGCTTCTTCGTATTCAGGGGATTGAACCAAAGTTTGAGATTCCCTTTTCTTGGGTGGTGAACAACTTGATGAACCCAGAGTATTTTCTTCATATCTGTGTTCATATCAAAGTTTCACAAGTAAATACCATTTGACAATGTTAAATATTGGTTATTTTTTCTGCCGCCTCTGGTGTTGTCATTGGTTGGCAACCTCATAAAATATTGATTACCAATTTACCATATAGAGTTGTACAGAACAACAATTGTGAATATGTGAATTACATCTACAAGTGGACAGGAAGTTTATATTACATTTAGATGTAAACATTTGTGTCATTATGTTACGTTTTGGAGCTAAGCAGCTACGTTTTAGGCATCTACTTGCAAAAGCTTGGCTCGGTTTGGTGCGCAGAGACAGTTGATGTTGCAAAATACAAACTCTCTTTGGATTTGGGTCAATGTTTGCATTTAGATGTTGTTGAGTGAGTTCTATAGATTTTATTTTATCATATTCATAAGTACAAGGAAAGGGGATGACAATAACAAGGCGCCCCCTTTTGTTGTGTCCAAACCAACAAGGAACTTCATTGGAAATGCAGACTTGGGGGAGGCCATCACTGGTACAAATTGAAGTTTGCTACACATTCTATTACTTGGCACAGGTAGAAGGGTTAAAGAAGTACTAAAAATGTCGAAGGACTATGTTTTGCTGCTTGATTTCTGGGCCAGCCCGTTCTGCATGAGGGCAAAGGTTGCCCTTGCAGAAAAGGGCGTGGCCTATGAAGCAAGAGAGGAAGACTTGTTCGGTGGCAAAAGTGAGTTGTTGCTAAAACCAAATCCTATTTGCCAGAAGGTGCCAGTGCTGTTCCACAACGGAAAGCCACTCTGCGAGTCCACCGTTATATCGACGAGACCTGGCCTTCTCCACTGCTCCCACCTTGTCCTTACGCTCGAGCTCAAGCTCGTTTCTGGGCAGATTACATTGACAAAAAGGTTACCAACTCTCTGTCCAACTTTCTAAATCTTGCAGACAAATATCAATGTAGACTACCTTGTTGTGCCTCATAGGTGTTTGACGCAGGCTACAATACATGGAGTAGCAAAGGAGAGGCACCGGAGGAAGCTAAAAGGGAGTTCATTGACATCTTGAAGCAACTAGAGGGAGAGTTAGGAGAGAAGGATTTCTTTGGTGGGGATGCATTTGGTTTTGTAGATATCCTACATTCCTACTGATCCCATTGACTAGCTGGTTCTTGGGCGTTGAGAAGCTGGGGATGTTCAAGGTGGAGGACTATTGCCCCAAACTGTAGGCTTACATCAAGCGGTGCACGCAGCGGAGTACTGTTGCCAAAGTTGTTGCAGACTCAGAAAAGGTTCTTGAATCTCTGCTCATGTTCAGGAAGATGCAGGGGATTGACTAATCAAAGGCTTTGGTTTGGATCATGCTGGCATTTCGTTTTTCCATTGCTCCCAATAAACTCCTTTTCTTTCTGTATGGGGAGAGATGGCTGGATCTAATTTTTTTCTTTTGCTTTTGAGTTTTATTGATGCTGTCTTACATGTAATTTCTTTTGGGCATAAAAGCATGAGAAATGCTACCGACTCGCTTGCCCTCTCTTTTCAAGTTTTTTCTGTCTTGAAGTTTTGGAAAGAGATTAAGAATTATTGGCCAGACATGTAAATTATTAAATAAAAATATGTGGTTTTAATAAAATATTACAAGTAAAATTTCAAAATGGTATTATTTTTTTAAACAATTAAATTGTTTTAATTTGTTAATAAAAAATAAAAAATAAAGTTATTTTTATATTTTGCCCTTTTTTTACAGATTTAATTAATAAATACATATTTTTTAATTAAAGATTTATTATTTAATATAAATAACTCATGTCAACAACTTAGGTAAATAAATGGTAATTTGCTTTCGTTGAAAATAAAAGATCTTAAATTCAAGTCTTATAACATGCAGGTGATATGGGATAAGAGATGAGAGAAAATTGACTCTTATTGTACAATCAACATTAAAAAAAATAAAATGAAATCTAGATAATCCATAAAGAAATCAGTGCTTATTCGTCTTGCCTTCAAAAAATTAAAAGGAAAAAAGATAAAAATCACCTTAATCACTTTAATGCATGTTTTAAAAATAAAGTAGTTTAATCTTTTCAATAAAAATTTATTAAGATAACATAATTTTAAAATAATTTTTCTTCAAATCTTTAAAAAATAAAATTAATAGGTACTATTTTCAACCATAAAAGGTGCTACGGGAACTCAACTGTGCAAAAAAAATGCCAAATGCTGATTGCCAACTTTGCGAAGGAGCTCCAATCCGATCTCTCAACTCAAAGATATCATTATCGTAATTTTCTGGTTGTTATTAAAGAAAAAAAAAGCATCATTATCGTAGTTGATATTATTATAGGGCTGTTTAGATTAATTTTTGTGATATAATTGATTATTGATCATTTTAATATTTAATGAATAATTATTATTATTATTTATAATTTAAAATATTTAATTTTTTAATTAAAAATTATTTTTAAAATGTTAAAACGAATACCCTCTATAACTTTTTGCTTAAATTAAATTATTTAAACCATATATTGAAAAAAATCTCAATTATTATTCATATATTCTAAACAATTTTAATTTTATCTATACTGCATGCTAAAAATGTAGTTTAAATATGGTTAAAATATTAATTTAGTTTTTTAATTTTTGATTTGTATTAAAATTATTTTTTTAACTTTAAAAAATATCAAAATTATCCTTTAGTTTTAAATTTTTTATACCAAAATAGTCATTCTATTAACAAAAGTGCTATTTAATTCAGTATTTTATTCTAAAGTCGTTTTTTTAAATATTAATAATATGTAAAATTAAGTAGTCATATTATATTATCGTGGTATATTTTCATTTATATATCAGTTTGACATATAATTAAAATTAAAACTAAATTAGTATTTGTAATCAAAATTTAAAAATTAAGTTGATATTTATTTTCGAAGTTTAAGGATTAAATTGGTACTTATTTTCAAAGTTCAATGATTATTTTGGCATTGAAAATTAAAGTTTAGGGATGATTTTGATATTTTTGTAAGTTGAAGGACAACATTAGTAAAATTTAAAAGTTGAGGAATAAAATTGATATTTTAACCTTTAAATATTAAAATTATATATTATTACCCATTCTATTCAACTTTAATAGATTTACTTTCCTATTTGAAACATTTAAATTTAATTGTTTGTTTTTCTTTTTTTATGGAATGTTATTCAATGAGTTTATTTCTATTTTATACTTATTTTTTTAAAAATAATTGTAACATATATTAAATAAAAAATTGAATTTAAATGACACTTATTTAAAGATAAATATAAAATTTTATCAATAAATGATTATATTTTAATTTATCAGAAAAAATTAAGTCAATTAAAAATAAATAAAACATTAATAAAATAATATAAAAAATAATCTCATTGAAAATACTTTAATAAATTTATAAATTCATTAAATCTTTATTATACATGATGTCCAATTAAACACTTTCATTTAAAAAAAACATTGGCGTTTTCTTTTATATATCTTATAAGAATTTTATATATCTTATAGTTGAGAATTTTTTTTTACTTACAAGAATGAGTAATTTCACTAAACAATAAAGTCAACTTATATTAAAAAAATAATTATAATATATATTACATAAAAA